TGCATCCCATCTTAATTTCAATTCATCATAATTCCTATGGACATTTTAATCTTCAACAAAAGAAAAAATTATTAGAATTATTCCATTCACGGAGTATATAAATTGTTATGGAGAAAAAAAATTACATTTGTCTGTCAATCTTAATATAAAATTACTAATATTTTCCTTATTTATTTTCCTTGCTCTAATAAACACTCAAATACATAAACTGACTCAACCCAAATAATTTATATTAGATTGAATTAAGTTCGTCACCTAACTAAACCATTTGGATATGATAAGTTTCTAACTTAGATAGATCTAAAAAGATTTCTAACCTTTTTTCAATTCTAACGATTTTGATGGTAAAGATTCAAACCTCTAACCTCCTAATCAAAGATATATGTTTTAACAAAATGATTTACATTTAGGTTTCCTAAAATAAATAATAATAATAATAATAAATAAATCTATCCAAACTGAACCTATAAATAGCTTCCATTAATAAAAATTAGATGCAAAAATAATGTCTAGACCAATAAAACTGATGAACTTGCATTTTTCAGATGTCTTAGAAAAAGGAATAAATAAATAAAACGCCCCTGCAGTGCACTTTCTACCCTGTTTCTAGCATGTAAAGGTTTACATTTTTTACTTTACTTTTCACTGCCAGAAGGCATCGTTTTCATTGGTTCTACTTTCCAGTTCACTACAATGTATTCAAATTTACCTGTGGTATAAAACGCGCAAGTTGACTCCTGCTATGCTATCAACTCATTTGATAGGTGACAACCATCTAATCAATGATCTGTACAGAAATAACATGTTACCAGAACAATCATCGTGTATCATACACACAATGCAGAAATTCAAAGTCTCAATGGCACCCGCAACATTTCCTATCCTAACGTGTTCATAGCCTTTCCTTTAACAGGAAAACTACTGAGCCTCTTTACCTTTAGTGAAGTCACCAAACAGCAACTAATTTTCCACTAAAGTCCAACAAAAATCAAATAAAATTCTTGAAAGCTAGAGGACTAATTTAACAACTATACCGTTGTAACTATAAACTACTAACAGCTAGAAAACAACCATAGCTAGGAAGGTCAATCAAAGAAATTTGAGACAAATTCATCTGGTTCCTTAATATTAAAAAGTTCAAATACACATTTCCTCCTTCCATTATAATCGAACCGTCCCAAAAACTGGAATCGTTTCTATAAAATTATAACAAAATTTATGATTTTTAGTTTTATTTAATTGGTGCACACTGCACACGTTGACTAACTCAATAAATCTATTACTTGGACTGACGAAAAATATTGGATAGGACACGAATGTCTCAAGTAGTTAGCTCAAGTATAGATCTTGAAAATTTCTCCGGAGGAAACAATTTCATAAGCTTACAAGTTCTACAATGCTCTAATTAGCATCCCATATGACAGTTCACAAACTAGTAATTTTGTGCAGATAAGAAGTAACAAACATTGCAGTATAAAGACAAGAATGCAATTCTGAAATAACAAAAGTCAAGTGGCAATATAAGTTCAGAGTTGGATGCTTAGAACTTTCTAAGAAGCATCATAATCCTGGCACTATAAACTATGAAATAGATAATGGAGGAAAACAAATGATGGAAGTAACATTCTTCAACGAAGGAACTTCAGTTGGCAGGAAATAAATGCTCTACAAACATGATTTAACGTAAAAGCTAAGCTCCACTCCATATACCAATGCTCAATATATGGTGCCGAGACATGTCTATTATAGAGCTATGCCATAAAATCCATGTAGCTACAAGTATAGACAATGAAGCTAGTTAGCGGATGCAAACATGGACGTTATTAGGGACATGACAGTGTAATCAAACTTGTACTCAACTAACTCACAGGTTTTGTATCCATCAGTACACACACACAAGTATGTAATTCACGGTAACAAGATTCAGATAAACACAACAAGTCTGCAACTTGTGGAGGCAGGGAAGTAGATACACGGGGAGAAAAATATGAAAGAACTCTAACAACTCGGACTTTAGGAAATAATATGCACATCGTTCCTTTTAAGCCCCAGTTTTAAAAGGAAAATGAACGACAGAGCAAAAATCCAATAAACATTAGATAAATCTTCACTGATAAAAGTACGACAAACCTGAATTTCTCTTCAGGAAAGGGATTCATTTAAGATGTTCTCCATTAAAACATCTGGAAGCTTCATAGATTGAGAAGCGAACGAGCTTGCCCGACAAAATCTACCACTAGAGGAACCCATGTTGGGTCCATTCACATCAAATCAACGACAATTCGTTGGAACACGAGCAGCACCTCCGTAACAGTGGAAAACACCAGAGATATAGCCAAAATAAATGGAGAGCAAAGCGGGAAACTACAATTTCAAGGTACCAAGCCCTGGAAGAGAATAATTTAGGACGTAACTGTCCAATTCGAATATCTATCCAATCCAAATAGTAAACTCCAACGGTTATGTCGATTTCACGCTAATTCAACATTTGGCTTTAAAGTAAATTCATGTAACTGAAGGATCCATCAATTCTTTACTAGGCGATCATAAAATCGAAGGTTACTGCAACGAATTTGACAAATTATACTACTCCTTTCGAAGAATCTTTCACTACTACGCGAAACACAATAAATAACTACAACAATTTACTCACGCACGAGGTAGAAACTCCATGGAGAAACATATCAACTCATTCAGCTTCCAGACGAAATATCCAATTTCTTCAGCTTCATTAGCATCACATATATGAAAACAACAGGAAAATACCACAGATTCTTGTAAATCATCAACCCCTTGTGATTAGAAACTGAATAAGACGCAGTAGTCCAGTATCTCTTATTGATCATAAACGGTAGTTAATTATAGATGAGATCAGAATGCCAAGTAGAACGAGGTATTGTGGCCATTAAAATTGCTTACCGTCCACAAGCTTTGAAGATCGTGACTAGTGAGCGATCTTTTCTCCAAGTCCGATACAGATTTTCCTTCCCGCTTCGAACTTCACCCTTTGGCGGGAGGACTTCATTTCTTCTCTCTCACACTAAATATTTTTTCTCCGTCACCTCATTTATAGAAGTGTCTACCTATTTATACTATGCTTTTCCTTTCTATTTTTTATTTAAATTATAATTCTTTCAATTAAATAGACATCTTACTCAAATACATTAATAACAATATTAATCTTCTCGTTCTCAAATATTGTTTTGAATTAACAAAACGTAAAATTTTAAAAATATTTTTATAATAACATATAAAAATGAACGGAATATATTAAGAATATCAATACAATACATTAAAATAAATGTAATGTTAAAAAATAAAAATTTAGAAAAACAAAATGTAACAACCCAAGCCTAGAGCTAGACATCGGATGATGTACCAACATTTTCGCTGTTTTTCGAAGGGGTAGACACGAGGTGGTGTGCCAGTAAGGACGCTGCAAAGGAAGGTAGATTTTGGGCGGTCCCACGTCGATTGGAGGAAGGTAAGAGTGCCAGCGAGGACGTTACACCCCGAAATGGGTGGATTATGATGTGCCATATTGGTTGGGGAGGAGAACAAATCACAAGGGTGTGGAAACCTTCCCTTAGCAGACCCGTTTTAAAGCTTTGAGGGAAAGTCCGAAAGAGAAATCTCAAAGAGAACAATATCTACTAGCGGTGGGCGGTAGTTACAAAAAATATACCACTCATTTTTAATACTCAAACAACGACGTCTTACCCTCTTATTAACCCGAGTAACTTCATTTTTATATTACATTATAATTGATATTTAAGCGGCAATATATAATTGTAAAGATAAACTATAATTTTAATTTAGCTATAATTAACAAAATAAAATTAGTTAATTAAAGATTTTAATTAATTATGCGTAGACTAAAAAAAATGTAAAATATCCAAAATAACATTTAATATATATAATAAATTAAATGTTAATGAGAAAAATACATCTATATATTTATAATTTAGATTTATATTTTACAATTTTGGTGCATTAAATAAATTAGATATCATATAGATATGGATAACATCAAATTAAATTTCAAATCAGCCCTCCTCGACTTTATAATATTCTTGATCTTTTATTATTTCATTAATAACTTAATTTTAAAAAATTAACATAAAGTATAGTTAAATTGTTGTTTCAAGACCCGTCACTTAAGTATATCAGCAAGATTAATTATTTTTAAAATGACGTATTTAAATATGTTAAAATTTAATAATTTGACGACTTAACAGTTTTAACATTTTTCTCGTGGTAAATAAAAATATTAAAATATTAATAACTATTTAATATCAATAGTTTTTTTTCGTGAGAACCACTTATTTCTTAAATATGCAATTATTATTATTATTATTATTAGTAAAGAAGGAAATATGGCACAAACAATTCTCCTCCACGTAATTTCTTGCCACGCTTAAAGGTCGAGGAATTGTCCGATTCAATATTCCACAAAAAGTAAACTTGAAGAAACGAACAGAAAAAAACAAACAAAAAGGTAGAACCATCTTTTTCTTTCTTAGAAAATTATTTTTTTTATTTTAAAGGATTAAAATAAATTATTATTGTATGAAAATTACGTTCATAAATGAAAAATCAAACATCTCAAAATTAATTTAAAGTAATTAATCAAAATAAAATAATTTTAAAATTATTTCCTACAAAATTTTAAATACTCCGTTTATTTTTTAGAAAAATTAAACCTAATTTTGTCAAAGATTTTGTAAAAGAAAATGAAAAAGAGAATTTACTTTAGAATATATACATAAAAAAATTAAGATTCCCCCATGAAAATAAATAAATAAATAAATAGAAAGATTATAAATAATAATAATAATAATAATCAAGTTTTATTCATTAGGAAGTAGGTAAGGATTACTCACCACACGAGAAATCTTCCGCAAACAAAAGGTTCCAAAATGAGGAGATTCTCTTCCGATCAAATCATCCTTCAACAGCAAAAGCATAAAAAAAAAACAAAAAGCCAGCCACATTTTCGCTATATAATTTTGTTCTTAAGTCAAGAACCGCATTTTCGATGTTCGATTCCCTCAGAACACTAAATTTATTTAATAAATTTGAATACGTCTACAACGCTCAGGATGAGCAAGTCACAACAAACTTGTCCAGGAAATAACGCTTCAAACGTTAATTCGTTTTCCTTTTTCAGAGAGAACGTTCTTACGGCAAGGAATTTTTTCCAGAAATGGTTTTCTTTAAAATTTCAGATCTGAACAGAAAAATAAGACTAATAGACATTATCAACGGACAAAATCTTCAGCAAACCTTCGTAACTAACGCCGTCAGATTCATCTCCACCGCCAAATCTAATCATCGCTTCAACCTCCTCATCGGAGATCGAAAATCCAGCAAAATGCATATAGCTCTTCAAGTCGGCGTGGCTCAACCGTCCGTCTCCGTCTTTATCCATCGTTTTGAAGACTTCCTCCATAATCCCCGTCGATCTTCTCCGTCCGCTGGACAATACACGCTCGAACTCTTCGTATTCGACGAAACCGTTCCGATTCAAGTCGGCGACGGCTATCATCGAGCGAATAGCATCCTCGTCGGCGTCTTTGCTGTAGAATTTGCGAAGATCGTCGCGGCTAATCTTTCCGTCGTGGTCTGCGTCGAGTGCCTCGAATGCCTGACGGAAAGCGGGGGCGGTATCAGAGTAACTGGCGGCGGTTCCGGAAGGACACATGGCTGAACAGCAGAGACGAGAAATCAATGGCGGATGGGAGAAAGTTTTGGAAATGAAGAACCTGCGAAGCGGGAAGGGTTTATATAGAAAGCGGAAATTTGGGGCTCCCAGTCTGTTGGGGCCCACGCTCTTTTGGAACGGACTGGCTTGGGAAGCACGCCCGAAGGCAAGCTTTATAGAGTCTTTTTTTTAAATTTAATTTAATTTAATTTATTTTTTCATTAAAAGGGAAGGGAAGGGCGTGGTCGAGGAGTTTGGTGTTACGTATGTGGTGACGCTATTTGGGGAGAAATTCTATTCATGGTCTTAAATTGTTGGCTTATGGCTCTCTAGATTTCTTCCCTAAAAACATGTGTGTTTATTATTTATTTATTTATATATTTTTTAATCTCCCCACTTTATAAATAAAAACACATATCATTTACTATTTAAATATGTTGATTTTGATTATTTATTTTTTACTATGAGATGTGTATATGGTTCGGGTTGGGTTTACAGATTTTTTTGGACCAATCCAAAAATTGAGATTGGTTGGATTGTTAACCCAACCCAACCTGAAAATTTCTACGACCCAGCCCAGTCAACCTCTCTATTTTTGGGTTGGGTTGGGTTCGAGTTGTGAAACAACGGAGTGTATATTAGAGAAGTTTTATGAGAAATACGTAGTGGAGAAGTCAGATGACAAACAGAGAGCAGATAAGTCCAATAGAAGTGGAATGGAGCACCAAGCGGAGTGACAGTCGGCGATGACGTCTAGCGAGGAACACAGAGATGAGGTTGAGCGGAAAAAATGAGAACTGAGAAGAGAGTCTAGTGAGAATATAAAGAGGCGAGCGACGTTGGCGTTTGATGATACATAGGGACAAGACGATTAAGAGTGAGATGAGAACTGAGAAATTGAACGACAAATGTTGTGGTGTGAGTGTGTGAGATTATGAGTGCGAGAACCGAGATTTCAAAATTAGAGTTGGATTGAGTTTTTTAATAATACACGTTTAATATTTTGATGATAAAGTCTTTTGAAGACATATGGACATTGATATTCTATTGATATTAACATTTAAAAGATTGATTTATATTTTAAACTAAAGGGAAAACAAAGAAAAAAAAAAGGAAAATTGGAAAAAAAAAACAAAGAAAAAGAAAAAAGGGAAATTTAAAAACAAAGATAAAAAAAGAAAATTGAAAAAACAGTGAAAAAAAATAAAATGAAAAAAAAAATAAAGAAATAAAAATAAAATGAAAAAAAAATAAAGAAAAAAAATAAAGAAAAAAAATAAAGAAAAAAAATAAACACACGCCCAGTGGGACTCGAACCCACAATCGCCTGATTAGAAGTCAGACGCCTTATCCATTAGGCCATGGGCGCTTGCTGTTGTGTTAATGATAATAATTAAATATATTTATTTATTAGTTTGCAAAATTGAAACCCTAATTTTGTACCCACGCACTTATAAATAGCAACAGCGCTGCATCAATCTACCACCGTCTTCCCTCTCTTCATTTTTTCGTAATTTCGAACTTTTTCCTTCTTAATTGTTCTTTTCGGCATTTTGTTTTTGCAATCGCGATCCTCCATTGTAATGCCTCCGACGATGTAGCCATTAATTCCTTCATGGATTAGCGGCGGTTTCGTATCCTATGGATGGAGGAGGCAGAAATTTGTTGCAGGAACGTTGAGTTGCTTCGCCTTCGTTCTTCTCCCCAGGCGCAGTGAATTAGAGCCTGCAAAATCGTTTCGCGATTATGATTATTTTAATAGTTCTCTCTTAACGTTTGATTTGTTTGTTCCTTTTTTTCATTTCTTGCGAACTGTTTTTCCTAATTGTTGATCTGTGTTCTTGTGTTCTGGTATGTCTTCTCTCGTATTTGTCTTGGATATTTTTTCTTTAAACTTTTGGTTTCATTTTTTTAACGTGTTCTCTTGTTGAGGCTCCTGTGATGGCATGAAATCTTTGAGACCTGATAGTCTATTTGATGACAATCATAAGCATAATTCTGAGGAGGCCTTGACAATCCAAATTGTTTGTACATTCTTCTTTGTTTTGTTTTTTTTAAGGTTTGTATTTTCATCTTCTTCTTGAATTTGTCTCTTTTAGTTTTAAAGTGATGATTCGAAGTGATGAACATGCACTGGGCTCTGAATAGATATTGCAATATCTGCTATAATTGATGGATAATGCGGCCTAGAAAACCATGTCTGATCTCTATTTTCGATTTTACATTTACATCTCCAATTATATTTGGTTGTTCGTGTTTTGTTTTTCATAATATCTAGATGATTACGTGATGAGCCTTAGTCTTATATCTTTTGATTTCCTTGTGAGTTTTATATCTTCCGATTCGTACAAGACTCATGCCTTGGTATTTTCAAATTGGATTGAGTTCGAAGGCATTTGAAAATGATTATAGTTTTCATTACAACAACCGTCTTGATTTTCGGTCGATTTTCGATTGATTATTTGGTATTTACTAATGCTATGTGTACATAAAAAAATCATAATCAAAATTCAGGAAGACATACGCACTTCTCAAAGGACGCCAAGGAAAAACAAATTGAAAAGAGGAATAACAATTAGAAATCAAATAGACCTAGAAAGAATAGACAAGTACCATGAAGAAGAATTGTAATGAGACTTGTTTAATATGTTAGAAATATATTAAACTTAATTGCTGTTTTAAAATAACAAAATTAATTATGTAAAAATGTTTTGGTTTATTGAATTTCATAATGAAAAATGGAAATATAAGTTGTGAAGGATTGAACAGAATAATAAATGTGGGATGAAATTTGGTTAAAGAGACCATTGTAATTTGAATTATATTCTGAAATCTTTAATAATCTTACTTTAAAATATTTAATTACGTAATTGAGTGATTAACCATAGTATTAAGGCAAGGTTCTTACTTTTTCCAATATTTTATTGTTAATATGAAGAAGTTACTCTAATGTGTTATAACATTGAAGCTTGTTTTATAACCATATAATTTTCTATTTTCTGATTTCAAAAGATGCTTTCTCAACATTTATATTAAATGCTTTTTCCTTAAAAGATTATAATTCTGAACTTGATTCATAATTTAAAATAGGTTCACAAAAATTATTTTTATATGTATCTGTTTTTTATTTTTTAATCTACTTTTTTTTTTACAAATGCTTTCAAAATTAAATTTTTATTTATTTGTAAGAACGGTTAAAAATTCAAATGATTATAAGAAAGTAGAAAATGTAAACAAATAGTGAGAAATCAAACCAAAATTTTATAAATAGAAAATCAAATAATTTTGAAAATGTTCTTAAAATTCATATAATAAAATAAAGGTGCAGGTTAGATAATTAGTATTTTATAATAAGCTTGTTTAAAAAGAAGTGTTAACTGATTTTAAAAACCAATAACTGTTGGAGAAATTAAAGAGTTACTTGACTAGAATTCATAATCCAATATATATAAATAAAATATTCAATTTTAAGAGGGGAAAACTTCGAACTTTTTTAACAAACACGTTTGCATCAAAGATGTATTCCTCATTGCACGGATTAGTATAAATTCTTCCTGCCTAAATTTGATTGCAAAATACTTGCCTGTTGGCAAATTTTTTCATTCATTTTCAACTTTTGGCATTTTTCTTTTTGTAGTTGGGTTGAGCTGCAAAATTTGTTTTTTCGATGCAATCGAGCTAGTAGTAGACATTCATGATCATAGAAAAATTATTGAATTTTTTCCCTATAGTTTTCCTTCTTTTGTTGCCAACGTTGTGTGACATTAAGACAAGATCAAAGACCAAAAAGAGAAAATTGTGAGATCGCACCTCAGTTGAAGAGAATGAAATATTTTTTAAAAAACTTTCCCTAGCATATATGTTTTAAAAAGACAAGCTCAGAACAAGCTCAAAAGGTAAAACTCAAAGAGGTAGGCTAACATCGTTACATAATAAGTAATAATAAGGTAATATAAGAACAATTCAGAATAAAGTTAACTATTCTGCCTATTAAATTCAAAAAAAGAAAAATAAAATCTTTCTGATTGATCCTGTTCAGTGAAAATGTGTTCTAATTGTACGAACGACCAAAGTTATCTGCCAATATGATCAAAATTTTCTAAATTCCTATTGGCATGAGAAACGAAAAGTAGTTTTTTTTAGTGTGAAAATATAAAACATTATAACACTATGTTGTTCTTAGTGTTAGCGCACTGGTGATGAAAAGAAGATGACAAGAAAGTATACGACAAACCCAGCTAGAAGAATTCCTCCATAGATGTAATTTTGAGAAGACTGCACTGGATATTTGTACTCAATGCTGCAGCATCTCATCTTCTCCCTCTCTTCGCTCAATACAAAATCGACGTACCTACGACACACACAATACGAACGCTTTGCTTTAATGCCACAGATTTATTTGTTTAAAAGAAATGAAGCTACGGTAAACTATCTTTCAGATGGAGCCACTTACTGCTGGGTGAAAATGGAGCTCTGGAAAATTTCTGAACTATTCAGATGTGCTTCTTGTAAGCGATGGTCATACAATAGCGATGATAGATCCACGAGCTGTTCCTCAAGGTTCTGTTTTTCGGTTTCGAAGAATCAGTCATTTGAAGACGTTTAGTACTGACATTAGTATTGACATTTCAATGACTTACATCCAAGTATTTCTCAAGTCGTTCAACCAGTTCATGGGGGAAAGGTTCTGGCAAGTTGGTCGTTTTTTTATAGAACTTCTCCAACCATAACTCAGTAGCTGTCTTGTTCTTCTTGCCTTTCACTGGTTCACCAAGTGGAGTTTTCAGATGTTCTGCTGCAAAGGTTTGGACAGTCTGACACCAAATAAACAGTGATTAAACCGAACTAAGCCAAAGATTAAAAGATCAGTTGTAAGTAAAATTACCTCTGATGTATCTCGGATTCGGTGTAGAGCTGAATCTACACGTGCATATATTATGTTCCTCTGTTAAGAAAAAACGTAAAAGAGTGAAAATATGTTTCAGCAATCTAAACCGATAAATAAGAAACTCCCAAACACCAATGTACCCTCATATATATAATTATGAAGCCAGGGATCCCATTAATCCTAGTAATCCTTACCAATGCAACATCTTGGAGCATTTGACTGACTTGGGTCGTGTTTGAGAACGGGCCAAAAGGATGACAACCAGCAGC